TTATTATGACTTATATAAGTGTCGTTATAATATCTTTTAACTACTCGCGGTACGAGGAATCTGGTTCAAATGGTCGCATAGGGTTGTTGGATTTCAAAAGTGCTATATGCCAAAATGGTCCTGCCCTTCGGTGTTTTATGTCTGGCCCTGTCTATACATAGTGGTTGGAAAGTATTATTTAAACGTTTATATAATAATAATAATAGTAAGACTAATAATTAGTTACGGTAAATATTTGACTAAAATCTAGTGGTAATAAAACGAGATTTCGTCGAAGGAAATTATTTTAAAGTAAACGAAGCGTCGTCCGAGTATCGAGTCGCCACCTTATCAAGTGAGTGCATGGTCTCTTTCATCTTACACATAGATATGAAGTATTTAATATAAATTATGTGTTGTGAGTGCATAGTTAGGCTCCGTTTGATAGTTGCTGACTGAGAAAGTGGTGACTGGGAAATGTCTGTCTGGGTAAGAAATCCTGACTGAGTAAGAAATCTTGTTGTTTGATTGTACATCTGACTGAATGTGCTGAGTGATAAAAAATAACCATTTTACCATTCTGTTATATATAGAGATGGATTAAGTTGCTTAATAATTATGAAAATTTTGACTTTCCTACCCCTCATAAATTCAGATTCTACACAAAAAAAAATTAATACTTCCATGGAAACATGCTTAATTCATGTCCTTAGATGCCTTTTATTCATGTTCTCCTTGAGTTAAAAACATATGATTTTGTAGTGGATCAATGATTTATTGTACGTTAAATGACTTTCCTACCCCTCACAAATTCAGATTTCATAAAATTAGAGTAATACATTAAAAAAATTCTTTATAACAATAACACATCTAAACACAAGATTTCATAAACAAATTCATATTTCATAAAGTTAGAGAAATACACAAAAAAAATTGACATCTTTATTTGAGCATTGAAGCTTTGTCATCTTTATTTGAACATTGAAGCTTTATCATAAACAACAACATCAGATAGATTATAAGTCTTGAAATATCTCACAATTGCTTTATCATATGTTTTTGTGATTTATAACACACTGAAGCTTTACACAGATAGGGCAATACACAAATTCATATAGATTTATAATAAACAACATCAGATAGATTTATAACATCAGATAGATTTATAAATCCAACTTTTGACATCTTTATTTGAACATTGAAGCTTTATATAAACAACAACATCAGATTCGATAATAAGCAACTCCAGTTTTTATGTTATAGATGCTCTTTATTAATTGAGTTCCCAAATTACCCTTATATAAAATAACGTGGCTGAAGTAGGTTTATAACATACAAATTGAAATGGGCCATATGGATCGAAGTTACCTTAAGTTTATTAAATCGTTTTATTGCAAATAACGAGTGGGAGTGGCATGAATATGGCCCAAGAGGAATCATGACACCTAAAAGGCTTCTGATTGATGCAATTGATGTAGAAATTCAACCGGGGATAGAAAAATCAAATTCAATTGATGCAAAAATTGGAGGGTAGTGATAGAGAGGGAGCTAATCTACTATAGAAGAAGAAGATCCGGTTGAAGGAAGGAGGAGATCAGAAGGGAGATGGCAGCGACAGGGAGGGAGCTGTTTGATGGAGGTGGAGGAGGCGTCTGATTTTGGACGCGTTATTTTTAGGTCATGAGAAAATTATTATAGGGTAGGATGGTCTTTCGGGCGAGTCAGCAACATTTTCATATCTGAGCGAGACATCTATTTGGGCTAGACAAGCTGACCGAGACAGCTCCTATCAAACACAAAACATCTAACCGAGAAAGTTGTTCATCTGACTCGGTTTGGTTCAGATGGGTATCAAATAGCCCTTACTTTCATCTTACACATAGATATGAAGTATTATATATAAACTACGTGGTATGTGTGCATATTATCTGTATACTTGCTATCTATGTTGGATGAACGATTTTATACATGTTTTAAATGATTTAAACTGTATATGTATTTTTATATCTACAAAATATGTTGGGTAAAACATGGGTAGATGATATATGAGTCGGATGATGAGATGAGAGGTGATATAGACCACGAGATATGGGTGAGAGGTGAACAATAAGAGAAGCCTTTTACCCAAATGATGGACCCGTTATCTAGCAGAGTATGGATGACAACCACGGACTATTCTAGACAGTCCAGTAGAACACTAGCAGGCTCACAACCTATAGGTGTTGTGAACGATATGTTCACCGGTGTACTCTAAAAACCCATTGACATGTATTGTGAGTGGACTCTCGAAAACGATACTGTTAAGAAACAAGATAAACCTCGATGGCTATGGAGTTCGTCCGTTGAGTAAACCTAGACGACTATGGAGTTAGTGCTTGTTGAGCAAACCTTGGTAATTATGGAGTTAGTGTCCGTTGAGAAAACCCTGGCAACGATGGATTTCGTGCCGATTCCTTAGGATAATCCTTAGTAATAAATGAACGAGAAATAATTGATTCTTAGGGTAGATCCTTAAAAGTAAAGAAGATAATGGGGATGAGTAATTGGGTTGATTAATTGTTTAAAGATTAAACATGATAATTATATTATTGTGGGTTGAAAACCCTATGTACTCACCAGGTTTCCCAACCTGACCCACTCAGTTTATTTATATCACAGGTGTTGATATGAAGTCACATTACACTGAGAGATTAACGAGATATAAATCACTAGTGATAATGAATGTAAGTTCTGTTTATGCTTATGTTTATGTATTGACGATGACATCCCAAATGTTTTAAAATGAATAAAAATACTTTTATTCGGAATTGCCTTGATAACGTATTTATCATGTTTTACTGGGAACAAATTCCGCAACATTTTTATTAAAGAGGTACTCTGATTTTTATAAAGCATAAACAAAAATCGGTCTTTTCTGGCCATGAAAATGGGGATGTCACACTTACGGTTTTTAGTTTATGTTTTAGGTGCTTCTGGTTTCAAAAGGAAGAGATCAATATGATTACATAGTACACATCACTCAATTCTGTATTTTGTGATTTACCCTGATATTGATGATGTATCAATACATTTTGATAACCTTGGTTTTATGATAATGATATGGTTTGATGTCATATTAATTTAAAAATGAAAAATTTTATGGTCTTGTTTTTGGGACGTTACACAAGGTGCACCAGGAACACTCCAAAGCACTTAAAAACACATTCTTTTTGCTCACAAGGCTTAACCTAGGGTTAGGGTTATAGGAGAGGATGTTGGAGAGGTGGAGACTGAGAATGGAGTGGGTTTGGGGAAGTTAAGGAGTTTAAATATGGCTCAAACCACGAAAATAGGGTTTGCGCACTGATCGCGTACGCCCAACATACTCAATTTACGCCCAAAGTACTCAGACATACTCAGTACGCCCATCGTATGCGTCTGACCCAAAAGTCGACCTAACTTCAAACGGTTGTAACTTCTTTGTTCAAACTCTGTTTTCGACATTCTTTATATCCACAGAAAGGTATTGAAGAGCTTTACAATATTATCTAAATATCTTGGACTAAAAACTTCTCGAACAAAAATCCATATTTCATGCAAGAACACGGCCTAAGACTTTCCCCTTTCTACCATTCGACCCAAAACACAATTCAAGGGTTAAATTTCTTAACCAACATTACCTCATTCCACAAGGACTAAACTTTGCACCCTTAAGGTCCAAAGTCTTACACAATCGACTTTTGGCCCAAGACCCAGAAATGGCAGGAAACAAAATGTTACATTGTGGGTCGAAGGCACTAATATCAGCTCACTGGATCATGTTATATAAAATGTTAGTTGTCTTTTTGACTCTTGAATATATGATTGGATTGAAATATACCCCAGAGATGGGCCCATCATTGTATGTTTGGGTTGAGATAAACCCTACGGCTGGGCTCAATGATATGTATTAGGTTGAAACATACCCCAGGGTTGGGCCCATGATTGTATGTTGGGTTGGAATATGCCCCAGGGTTGGCCCCACTGATCTGTATGGTATGTGGTATTTTAGGGAATCCACTAAGCTTTGTACTTACAATTTATGCTTAAAATATTTTCAGATACTTCCAGTTTTAAAAGGAAAGACCCGACTTGATCGTACTGCATCCTCTAGAGATTTATTTCAAACTAAATGTTTATGCATTACTTTGATGTTTTGAGAATACTTTTATTCTGATTGTCTTTGAGTTAATGAATGAATGGTTTGACTTATTTAAAAATGAAAATTTTACTCAATATTTTTGGGATGCTACAAAAAACCGAAACAAACTGAAAACCAACTAAACCAAGACCATGTATACTTGGTTTGGTCTTTGGTTAAAAAAAATGTTAATTCGATTTTGGTTCGTTACTTGGACCACACCCTATTCATGATCCTGAAAATTGAATCAAACCAAAAACCAATAAAAAACAAACCAAAACCATATATACATGTTTGGTTTATATGCAATGCTAATCCTGTTTCGATCTGATTCAAGTCTGATCTGATTCATGGACCACACTCACCCTTTATCGCATGCATTTCTTTTGGTCGTGGATTAAAGGTGTTCATCCATTGGATGTTAAATTTCAACCGATCCAAACTGATCGAGTATAAAAAAAACCGAACCAAACTGATCTAATTAAATATTAGATTGGATCGGTTTTATCCATTGGATATATTCTTTTATTGATTTAACCCATTGGTTTTTCATCATCCAACCAATTCTAATTCCTTTCTATAGAATGTAAAATATAACTATCATAACTAAAAATAAAACCACATATAATTACCTTAAATAAGACTAAACAATGTAACTTTAACTTCAACTCATCTATTTATTTTTTTATTGAATAACTAATAATAAATTGGATGAGGATAATAATATTAGATATTTATTGGATTAGAATTGAATATCCAATCGAATATTGATTATGCATATTCCCCTAATTAAAACCCGTAAATCTCCTAATACTAGACAATTAGGGTCGCACCGATATAGAGTTTGATTTTAAACTCTTCAATGCTATTTGTAGGCATCAACTCATTGGGACACCCAATCCAACGGCCACAATTGATGGAAATAACACAGGAGCTCTCAGTAGGGTAACACCCGATCCCATCCGTATACTCAAAATTAATTTTCCTTCGCCACGAGAAAAAATCCTGTGCTCCTCATCCACCGTAAGTATTACACCTCCAAAACCTAACATTTCCCAACTTTGCAATCGCCGGCCGTTCGCCGCCGGCAATGGATATCATCTGGACCTTCAGTTGATCACATAGATCACTGCTGTCCATTCGCAGGTAAAAATTAACCAAAAAAACTATCTATTCCGTTCTATGCATTTGAGTTCTGCGTTAGGGTTTTGAAATTTGACTGTTTCCTTCTTCATTTTAAGTTCATCTTTTTTGGTTCCTAGAGTTGAACTCGAAAGCTTCTTCGTCTCGTAACTTTTCGTTTCTCCGCTATTCATAGATACTTTCCGCCTGTTCCTGGCTTATCGAGGAATATTCATCACGCAATGGTATGTTTCCTTAGCATTTATGATCAATTCACTCTTTGATTCCTTTGTTGATATGCATGTTTACGTTTTTTATTCCTGGTGTTCAAATTTAGTTTAGTATTTAAGCATTTTTCTTATGATTTTCATGATCCAGTCGTTCCATGAGAAAGGATTTTGGATGACGAAAGGGAATAATCATCATATGACCGATGGAGACGCCATATTTGGTAACTCATCCAGACTAGAATCAAAACGCTCGCACCAATGGTTTGCAGATGCAACAGAAGCAGAATTATTCCCTCACAAAAGACAAGCCATAGAATCTCCAAACAGCAAATCAATTTCTGTATATCCAACTTCTCATCTATCGTGGGACAATGTTTCTGTTTCTGCTCTTCAATCATCCCCAAATCAGTTCATCGATCGTTTATTGGGATCTCCTGATGGAAATCTGAATAAAAAAATCGTCCATGATCAAGTTCAACTCGAAAACGGATCCTCAGTTGGTTTATCTATGTCTTACACCATTGAAGACCCCGATAGTTTGATCTATGGAGGGATTAGGAAAGTTAAAGTGAATCAAGTTAAGGACATTGATAACAACGACACCAGTTTCATCACAATGGGGCCTAACACCAACTATGGCAATGAAGATGGAAATGTAACTTTAATGGGACATTCTTATACAGGATTCGATCCTGCTCCTAGATCAGCCATTGCTACAAGCAAAGATGAAGAGAATTCCATATCTTTTGGTGGATTTCAAGATGAATCTGAGATGCCAATAAATGGGTATTATATCAAAGCCATGAACAACTATGGGTTATCATTTGATCAATCTACAGTCAAAACATTGCAGTCTCCAGAGATTATTAAAGAGTTGGATGTAGCCAATGTGCTTGGTGTTGTTGCAAGTGCACCTCAGAGTGTTATTAAATCAAAGAGCAAATTAGAAACAAAACCAGCTAAAAAAGAAGCACCTAATAGCTTCCCTTCAAATGTCAGAAGCTTAATGGCTACTGGCATACTTGATGGAGTCCCTGTCAAATACGTTTCACTTTCAAAGGAGGTAAAGTAAATAAACATCTTTTTGCATTCTTCAAACCATCATACTTTGACTTTTGAACAATCTGAGAAATCATGATGAATTTAATCCGTATAATTAGGAGCTTTGTGGGATTATAAAAGGTTCTGGATACTTGTGTGGTTGTCAATCATGTAATCACTCTAAGGTGAGAGCTTACTTTTCATAATCTTTATGCAATTCTATTCGTTTTGTTGTCAAAAATTTAGTCTACACCATTTTATGGATTTAGGCACTGAATGCTTATGAATTTGAGAGGCATGCGGGATGCAAAACAAAGCATCCAAACAATCACATATATTTTGAGAGTGGGAAGACAATATATCAAATAGTTCAAGAGTTGAGGAGCACCCCTGAGAGTTTATTGTTTGATGCAATTCAAACTGTAACTGGTTCACCCATTAATCAGAAAGCATTTCGCACATGGAAAGGTAATAATTTACTAAAATTGATTATGGATAATTAGATATAAACAGATGATTGGGATTTGGTGTTTTTGATAATTTGATTTGTGTTTGTGTAGAATCTTTTCAAGCAGCTACTCGTGAACTTCAACGCATTTATGGAAAGGATGAACTCAATATATAGAATTTTTCAGATTGTTTAAAATGTAAGAAAGAATCGATTATGATGCTTGTCGGCTTTGATAACCATCTGTACATGAGTATTTTATATATAGGTTTGATTTTTTTTTTGTTTGTTTGCAGTGTTTGTCAAATTTGATTCTGATAATATCATTTTTAGGGTAGCTTTTGAGAGCTTCTATGTTATCAGGGAAAATGACTTATCAGGGTAATCATCTTTGTCACTTTGTTCACATTTAGGCAACTTCTTTATTTTTGTATACATTTGACCGATTAATATGTAAACATATTAACAAGTTAATTGGTCAAATGTATACAAAAAAAGAAAGTTGCCTTAATGTGAACAAAACGAAAAACTAATTACTCTGATAAGTCATTTTCCCCACTTTTAATAGCGATTTTATTTTTCATATTTGTTTGTATTATTTTATAAAATATCCATAATTTCATAAATATTAGTTAAATATAGATCAATTCTAAACTTTATTTTTTAATTAATAAATATGTTTTCGTTTTGTGAAATATTTTAAATAGTCTCTTATAACTTTTTCTTTTGTTTTTAAGTATGTATAATATTTTTAAAGTAAATAGTATCTAACAATAAAATTAAATAAATTAAATATGTAACAATAACCATGGAAGACTCTTTTAAAAAATAAAAAGAAAATATTACTTAACAAAAACAATTTATATAATGTAAATGTTTTAAAATTATTACAACTTTTTAATACTTTTTAAATCGAAGTTTATAAACTTTTAATTTTTTAATATAACTTTTTAAACTAGTATATAACGAAAGTATTTTAAAATGTTATAAAAAAAATATTAATTTGTCATACAAAATCTGTGAAACACTTTAAAAATGTTGTAAAAAAAAGTTTAGAAATAATTGTATAAAGTATTTTTTTTTTTTTTTGAAAGAGAAATAACTGTATAAAAGTTATAAAAAAATGCATGAAAATAAATAAATTAAAAAAAAAGTTAAAAAATTGTAAGAAAATTTTAAAACATTTATAAAATATTTGGTTTCAAAATACTTGTATTAAAATTATATGAAAGTATAAAAAAAACTATAAAAAAACTTTTAAAAAAATTGTAAGGATTTTTTGGATTTTTTTTTGTAAACATTTGACCATTTAACTTGTTAAATGTATTCACATATTACCATTGTTACCTGCTATAACATATTTAACTTGTTAAACATGTGAACATATTTAACAAGTTAATGGTCAAATGTATAAAAAAAATGCGTAATTATGAACAAGATAAAAGATAATTACCCTTGCAAGTCATTTTCCTTATATTTTATTTCTTTTTACACATTTCAAAAACTTAAAGCTAATTTTATCAAATTTTTCTACACAAATAAAACTACAACTAGCTATTTTGACCAAAGTTACCTACGAAGTAGGTAAGAATTGTTCAACAAAATTGATCAAAAACCGAATGAAAAGCAAGAAAACTTAATTATGATTATTTCTTTTATTATGTCCAGATTTCTTGCAAGCTTTTACGCTAAGAGCTATTAGATATACAAAAACAAAAATGTCCTCTTTTATTCCAAGTTGAAATAGTAGATGTCAAACATTTAGGAAAAAAAATGTTTAACACAAAGGTTAAGAAGAAGGGTTATTGTCACCATCACATATCGATTTTAGCTTAATTTGGTCACTAAATTTTATTTCTCAGAGTGTGGATCTTAAACTATAAAATTACATGCTAATTAATGGAACCCTTAAAATTGTAGCTGGTTTCAAGGGTTTGAAGGAATGGGTAGCGCCATGTGGCATCCCCTTCGAGTATGTAGTTTCCTATGCGTGTGTGTATAAGCTTCTTTAATACACTTTCCTTAAAAAAACTCATTACTAACACTTGATTTCCGTATTTGTGATCTCCAAGAACATCTCCCAAACCCTAAATAGAAAACTTTGCGATGTCTCCTCCACTTCAAACAACACCGGTTTGAAGTCGATTGGTTACTTTTGTACAATTGCCCTTTAGAGCATCCACACTCCATTCAACCCATGAAGAGTTGAATAAAGTGCCAATAGGAGAAAGAATGTATATTTACAAGTCAATTCTTAAAAAGTCAATAAAGTTGCATTAGAAATCCTTTCAACCGTTCAATGAACATGAACTCTATAGTCTCTCTCTTCCATATTATATTGAAATATTCCATTGAATTCTTATTGAACATTGAACTCTATACTCCCTCTCTTCCATATTCTATTGAAATATTCCATTGAATTCTTATTGCACTCCTATTGTGGATGCCCTTACTAGTTCAAATGAACTTCTTGGTCTAATGACAATCTGGCTTGCATGTTTCGAAATTGTGCAAATTTGCTGGTAAGTTTAGCGTTAATAAGTTGCATATACTATTTAGTTTTCATAGAAAGTGCCGATTTTATGCATTATGAATTTATGTTTGTAAACCCTAACTTGAAGCTTTGCTTACTTTGAAATGTTACTACTTTGTTGAAGGCTAAGAAAAAGAACAAGAAGTTGTTCATGTGTTGTCTTGTTCTTTTTGTGTTGTGTTCTATATTGAAGCCTTTTAGTCAAGCATGTATCATTATCTTTTTGTGTATCAATAGTACACTACAATCAAAGTTTCATGCATGCGCAACAATTTGGTTACTTTCCCATGCAACAAAAAAATATTATCATAAAGGAGTGACTACCTAACCATTGCAGCTACAAAAGTTGATTACACATTCAAACTTGGAGTATTCTTTCAAGATCAACGTGGGTGTAAATTAATGAGCAAAAGAAAATCATAATTCAAGAAAATCTATTACTAATTTACAAGGTTAATATTTATCCACGTGCAGAGTAGAAAATTAATTACAAAAATTAAAGTCAATGTCACATCATGAAAAAAAAAAAAAAAAACAGATGATCGTTTTTCATTTATGGAACAATGGTGTAAATGACATAGATTTTCACACTACCAGAAATAAAATTCAATGACTAAATCAGTCCAAAAGTCAAAAACCCTACGTCTGTTTAACCACAGCAAGCTGATTTCTGTTCAGATTGACTGTTTGCACCTCCACCATCTGGTTTATTAATCTTAATTGTTGATGGCTGTCATTAATATTAAAACCAAATACTTTGTAAATATAAATACACAAATCATAAATATTAAATTATAACAAATACTATTTAGAAAGCAAAAAAAAAATTACCTCAGGTTTAGAATCAGTGTCTGCGAGTCTTTGCTTAATATCTGTTGCTACTGAAAAGAAAACTTGCTCCACATTTAGGTTGGTTTTCGCACTCTGTAAAAACACAGCTTATGACTATGTTCCTCAATAACTAACATATTTATTTACAAAAAATAAATATAATCCATATTGAAAATGTATTTTTATTTACTTACAGTTTCGAAAAATTTAATGCCATACTCATCTGCTAGTGCTTGTCCCTTTGAGGTAGGTACAGCCTACAAATATTACGTAACTAAATAAGAATAAAATAATAATAATAATAATAATAATGGATTAATGGAATTAGGTTAAAATCTATAAAAATTACCCTCTTGCTTTCATCCATATCAGCTTTATTTCCAACAAGGATCTTGTTCACATTATCAGATGCATGTTGTTCGATGTTGCGAATCCAGTTTCTTATGTCTGTAACATCATATTATTTAAGATTAATAATAAGATAATATTAATTAGTTAATTAATTATTCAGGAAAGAAAATCTTACTGTTGAAAGATGATTCGTCTGTAACATCATACACCAACAAAATTCCCATGGCTCCTCTATAGTAAGCTGGAGGGAAAAAAGATTATGTAAATTATAACTTAAATTGACATTTTAAAACAAAAAAAAAAATCATATCATCATAGATTCATAGTGATACCAGTAGTGATTGTTCGGAATCGTTCTTGGCCAGCTGTATCCCAGATTTGGAGTTTGATCCGTTTGCCATCAAGTTCAATTGTTCTTATCTTAAAATCGATACTGCAAAAAGATTAATGTCAGAAATGTTTTGTATAAAAAAAAAAAGATGAAATTTTGATGTAGAAAAGATGAATTAGTTCACCCGATTGTAGTGATAAAACTTGTAGTAAAAGAACCATCAGAAAATCGTAAGAGAAGGCAACTCTTTCCCACACCTGACATTCAAAACAAGTAACAGTTGATGAATGGAAGAGTGAGAACAGATATCAGACATGAACTCGATCATGATCAATCAGAAACGCAAAGCAATTCACAGATTCTTCATTAAACAAGTTACAGTTGATGAATGGAAGTAACACTGACATTCAAAACAAGTAACAGTCGATGAATGGAAGATTGGGAACAGATTCCAGACATGAAATCGATCATGATCAATTACATACACAAGTTTATAGCAGCAATTGACAGATTCTTCATAACAGTTGACTTTCCTCTAGCATGATAACGCTAGTGAAATTCTTAACAAATACAAGACCAAATCATGATAAAGCATCAAATTAAACCTAGATCCGTACAATAAACCACCTCCAGAATCAACTAAGAACCAATATCACTAGCATATAGACGAAAAAAAAAAATCAAACAGTGAAATTGTATTTTAAATGACGAAAATTATGACTCACCGCTATCGCCAATCAAAAGGAGCTTTATGAGGTAATCATAATCTGCTCGTGCCCTTGCAGGTGGAGCGGCCATTGAAGGATCGGAAGAGTTTTCAACAAATAGAGTCTAATAATAAACCGCGTAAATATATCTGTAACATCGATTAAACCAACAAAATTACAAACAGAATCAAAGTAAATGAATGCGCAATCAACAGCAAACACACCCGACTAGTAAGCGATAAGAGATCCGCCATTGAAAATCTAGACAGAGAGAAATTATTACCTTGGAATGCTTAGAAAACAAAAAGAGAGGAATCCAGCCTACAATGACGGTTGGCTAAGATGCGCCAGTTCCCCTTTCTTCTGCTGTGTTTTCAGGTGCCTGTACTTGCTAAGGGTGCGCTGTTGGCTCTCCTGCGCAATCTAGCAAATACGGGGAAAAAGAAGAGTAAACGAACGAACGAACGATGGGGGAAGCAAGTATCCGGTGTTGACGCGCACAAGATTAACCGGTAGACAGTTGTTGGATTTAAAGGAAACGAAGTGGCCGATCACGGTAATAACCGTGTGCGCGTTGCAGGGGCTAAAATCTGAGCTGGATATTGTAATTTGGCATAAGGTCGAGGTCGTCATTTTTGTTGAAATCTTTTCTAAAAAACCGAACAAACTTAATATTATTTTTGTTTAATTTCCATTAAGATCAACCGGTTAATGAAAGTCAACAAATGATATGATTTATGACGTTTAAATTGAATATCAGAAAAATGATTTATAAAACCAATGAAGTTTGTTTCAAATAACCTCAATCATGTTTTGTTAGTTTAAAAAAAGCCAACGGACTTACGTTATTTTACAATACTCATTAGAATCAACCAAATTCATTAGGTAAACAGTTGTTTTTGCACTTTCAGTTATACTTTCTCACCATGTATTTGAAAAAGATTTTAAAATGAGACTATGTTTAAGTACTTAATATTTATGATTTTTTACAAACGATAAATAAGTTTGCAAAACTCTCACATGAACAGCACAGCACTAGAAGCAAATATAAGTCAAAAGAAAACAATTAATATTAGAAATAAAATTTATTTTTCTTTGGATAAATACTTTCTTTAAATTGTTAATAAATTTTAAAATTTATGAATAGATTTTTTTTTTAATTTTATTTGATTTTTCTCATAACTAAAATAATTTCAAGATTACAGCCAAATGCTATATTGTATACTTAAGTAATGGACATAGATAATTTCTTTAATGATAACATATAAAAATGTATTTTACAAAAATACCAACACAATAACTATATATTTGTCCTAAAAATTGAAGTCCCCTTAAAATCGAAGGTCATGTACGACTACACCGCCAACACACCCCATCCCAGGGTTGTCACTGACATCAAACATGAAAGCTGAACGATTTAGTATTTATTCAAAATGGTGGGTTACTCGAAAGTTGAATTTTTGGTATTTAAACTTTAAACCATCTTTATTTATATAGATTATTAATTCAAAACTTTTATCTTGTCGCAGACATAGATTGAATTAAAGATTAGTTTATGAGTATATTAGATTTGCAATTAAAAAAGAAAAGAAGTAAATATTATCATTAATCAAAATACTGATTATTTTTTATATTTAATTGTTTAAAGGGACATAACAAAAAATCCTAAGCAACCATTGACTTTTTAACAATCTACTTCAATGATAGTACTAAAAGTTATGTCATGTCGCTTTTATTTTTAAAGATTTCATTTTCAAGTGGGGCTTCGATTTATTTGTTCTTTTGTTAATCTTTTCTACTATAAACAAGTTGTTATGGGTTTCTTTCGTTTCATAGAAAGTGTCCAAAATTGGCACATCGAGTTGTGAGGTCCCGTTTGTATCCTGCATATACGTTTTAACTTTCAACTTATGCTGTTTAAATTAGATAAAATATTTTTAATCATTTTATAATAAAGTTATAGTGTTTTTGTAAAAGAATTTGTTTTATATCACATACACATTCTTGAATAATTATTTTTTAAATAGTTTAATTGGTTATGGCATTGACATTTGACTTTGGGTTTTGTGTCTTAAAGTTTAGACTTGGTTTCATGTTATGCGCTTGATTTATTTTTCAAATAGTCTAAGATCATCTTATAATAAGACTTCAAATATTGTATTTCGACTTTTAAGCTTCATTTTATATTTCAGATATTGAACACTATAGAAAATTAAGTGAATTTTCCACGTAATTGAAATATAATATGCTAAAATAAAATGTAAATGAAGAGATGGAATATCTATCCTAATAAATGAAAATATTTTTGCCAAATATCATCTTCTCATTTAGTTTGACACATGTCATTTTGTAGGATTTTTTGATTTTTCTTTTTCCACTTGGCATTTTCTTGTGCTTTCAATTTTCTTAAATTTAAAAGTAAATTCCATATTTTATAGGAGTTTATTTATGTTATGTAGAATCATTAAATTAAATTTTAATAACCATACCAAAAAAAAACATACAACTACAAATTAGGCAATAATCAATTCTTTCATAATTAAATGTTTACACATCATAATTTTCACTTATACAATAACTTTTTCAAAACAAAAAATGTTATGGAATCCAATTATAAACAAAGTAATTAGTTTTCATTTATTATGATAGATATATTGAAAAACTTGATCCTTATTATTTTATATTCAACTTTTTTAATAAACCCGTGTAATACACGGGACTCACACCTAGTACCATCATAATTGGTTAAAATAATTTTTGAGAAGAGGGAGATGACAACACATTTTTTTATTATTATTATTTATTAGGTTATAGTCCATGTGAACTACGGTTACAAAAATAAATAATTTTTTATAGTAAAAACTCATAACTATTAATTAATTATTTTCAATAAATTATTAATTAAGAGATTTATGTTTTTTTTATGTGAAATTATAATCGTTGATTCAAATAAATATGTGAAATTATTTTTCAAAAAGACACTTCATGCAAATTGTGTTTTAGATCAATCGTGTTCTTTAACAGTTTAATTGGACTTGTGGCGTTTGATTTTTCTAAAACTGAAGGAGTTACATTCTCTCCAGAAACACAATCATCAATTTGAAACAATTTTAAGTGGTTAGTTGTCTTTACAATTTAGTAAAAATTAAGTATTCTCATAGATAACAAAATTTATTAAAGTGTGACTATAGTATATTATAATATAATGTTATATTTAAATTTACAAATTTTGTGTAAAAGAATACATAGTATTGTCAATTGTAAGTAATCATGAATTAATCTGATAAGTAAATAAACATAGTAATTTAACATAGCTTTGAAATACTTCTATTTACACAACATTGAAAGATTTATTGGTTGCATATTTATGTAATAAATATCATCAATCATATGAGTTTTTGGACTTATAAGTTCTGGAAGGGTTGTGAGATAAGTTTAAATGGAAGCAACTATTTTCAGTCAAACAGATCAGTCACATTGATTAGTAAGCATGTTTTCTAAATAATTAGGGTTAATGACTTAGGAGGGTAATAAGGTTTCCAGTTTGTCCGTATTAGGTCACTAAGGTTTTTTTTTGTGCGTATTAGACCAATATGGTTGTTATTACCGTTTAGAAATAGTCCTTTTACCGGTTTTAACCGGTAAAATGACTATTTCTAAACGGTAATAACAATCATATTGGTCTATTAAGCACAAAAAAAACCTTAGTGACCTAATACGGACAAACTGGAAACCTTATTACCCTTCTGAGTCATTATCCCATTACTTTTTTTACATCTTTTCTCAAATTCCAAAGTTTTATCTAAATCCTAAAATATAGAGAAAGAGGGTGAGAAAGAGAAAAAAAAAACTTTACCAATCTCAAGCACAAAGTTGAGCAAAAGAGAGATGATAGAGGGAATGACGAGCACTCTTCGGGTAACGGTGATGTTCGCCGCTGAGAACTCCGAAATATTTGAGGAGTGGCACTATTTTCCGGTGAGTAATTTTTTCGGCCTCAATGATAATCTTGTATAGGGTTTAATATTTACTAAACAATTACATTAATATATTATAAATTAATATAGTTTTTTGGGTTTATATGTATAGTTTTACTTTCTAAACAGAGGATTTGGTTTGATTTTTTCAGTAATTCAGTTGGTTATCTCTTATTTTATTGGTTTCAAAACAATAATCAAATAAGACTGATTTATATTTTTCTGAATTTACTTAGTCGTATACATAATAAAAGGAGGGGCCATAAAGTTATTTATAATATATATATATATATATATATATATATATATATATATATATATATATATATATATATATATATATATATATTTATAATCTTTTAGTGAAGAATACCTTTTTATTTGTAAGATTAAGATCCCTTCACGCATATATTTCATCCCCCCCCCCCCCCCCCTAAGAATTCACACATAAAATTTAATGTTCAAACCCTAACACGCCTAAAATATGACACATTTGAAAAAATGGTCCCTGCGGTATGTAGTTTTTGAGGTTTTAGTCCAAACCACGATTTTTTTTATTAATGGTCCTTTTTAGTTAGTTTCGTTGGGTTTTTGGTCCCTCTGAATAGCAAAATGATTGTAATGCCCTTTTGATATATTTTATTTTGTTTTTTCTATTTAATTTAATGTTTTATTAATTAAAAATATGGGGTCCTCTCTCTCTCTCTCTCTCTCTCTCTAAAAACGAAATTAGCCCTTGTCATTACCTAATCCTCCAAATATGAAATCCACATTCTTCGTCTTCTCTATCTCTCGCTCATCAGAAAGGTGTCGACTTCAACGATTCTTCTTCATATGATCTAATCCGGTGGGGAAACTCCAACAACAGCTTCATCATCGTTGACTCTTTAACTTTCTCCTCTGCTATCTAAGATTGTGGGTAAAGGTGGAAGTCGATATGAGTCCATCAGCTAACAAGAGGAAAGGGGGCAGAGTTGAGCGGTGGGTGTCAATTGCTTGCGATGATGAATGTTTTCTTCTTATTCTTCCCGATCTTATTGCACATCGTCATGGATTCTGCAGCTGTTGTTCCTTTATCAAGTAATGAAGCATTTAACATCGGTAAACCAGTAAGATCTGTTACCATGGTTTGGAAATTAAGCAGGGATTTGATTCTTCCTTGTGCAATTTCAGCCTCGTAGGGAGTGTATTGGGTGTACCAACCAGGGTTTTTTCCATAATGTTCCTCAAAATCACAGGAGGAATAGAGGTGTTGTAATACCCCATACCAATAAACGACTTATAAACCTTATTTTTTAAAGCAAACCCATGAAAGTTTCTTTCTGATCTAACAATTCTTTCACGAGAAAGGTATGGAGATAACGAGGAAACATACCTCGAAGATGAATACAATGCATGGGATGGTGAACTTTGCTTGGTTTGTCAAACCAGGCGCTTGAGAATGGCTTTGTTTGCTGGCAGAGATTATTTGGGGAAGAAGATGGATCAGGTGGTTTTTTGATTTGTTGGAGAGAGAGAGAGATGTTTTTTATTTTTTTAATTATTAAAATAAATAAATTAGTATTAGATTTAAAAATAAATGAAAGAAATGGAAAATAAATAATTCAAGGGCATTACAGTAATTTCACAATTTAAAGGGACCAAAAACGCAACGAAACTAACTCAAAAGGACCATCAATACAAAAAAATTGTAATTTAGACTAAAATCCTAAAAAATACAAACCACAGGGACCATTTTTACCATTTTGTCCTAAAATATTGATAGTATTATGCAAATTGATGTGAGCTGTTGGTATTGTTTATATTTTTTAGATCCCCTAAACAATAATGTCACAGAGTTTAAAGTTAAAAATAAAAAATAAAAAAAATTGTGCTCACAAGGTGATAAATTAATAAGCAAAAAAATAATAATAAAAAAATGAATGGGAATCAAAATTGATGCTCGTAGGATATGCTTCCCCACTAAACTAAAAACCCATTCCTTTAAGGTCATCAAACCCTCTCATCACTTCACTCTCTTCTTTCATGTCCAAAATGAGGCTCCGGTGGAGTTTAAAACCACCGGAAGCCATGGCGGCATATGGCAGCGGTGGTGGTGGTGAAGTGATGATCAAGTTTTCTGGTGGTCAATGAAGTTGTGAAACTATGTTGATCATTTGGGCAACTACACAATCTTTGGCATAAATGCAACCATAGTAAAATCGGTGGTTTGATTTTGATCTTGCTTTCTATGACGGTACCTATTTAATATTTATAAACTTTGGATTGTAAGTTCTAATTATCTTTAAGTAAATGAATGAATGTTGGAAAAAAAAAAATTGATATTGTTTTTGTTATGATAAGTTGAAAAATCCCTATTTTGTTTTTGGTTTATTGCTAGTTTTACGTGAATGGTCCATGAGAATTGAGAAACTAATAATCCATACATTTAAATTCAACTCTTTATATCATATTTTTTTTCATATATTAACGTAATGATTTATATTTATATGTTGATTGTGAGACTGACTGATACAATGTTGATTATATTTTGTTTTACGAGAACACATTTCGGTTTTCGTCTATATATCGACGCCCAAACAAGCATGCACCGAAAAGACGAAAATCCAGAACCAGTTTTGTATATTATCTTTTATAAATTAAATATTAAAAAAATAAATATAGGTTGATAATAAAATGTGTACAAAAGGAGTATTGTTTTCCTTTTTTCACATGTGGGTGTTTGGGATAGTTTTAAAAAAGCCTTTAGCTTTTTAAGAAGCCATTAAGCTAAAAAAGTGTTTGTTTATTTAAAAAACGTTTTTAAAAACAGCTTTTTATAGAAAAAAATAAAGCTGAAAAAAGCTGAAAAATCCTAATTTTTTAACTTTTTAAACCATTTTACTCTTGAAAAATCAGTTTTTCGCGTCCAAAAAAGCATTTTTCATAAGAATCACTATTGATATAAAAAAGTTAACCCAAACTTACCCGATATACACTTATGCATGTTACACGGTCCTAATCAGTAACTAATAACTTTATTAAAAGTTTTATTTAATTTATCATTAATTAAATATTGTGTAAATAAAATAAAAAAGTAGATGAATAGGTTCATCTTGTCCATCTCCTTTTCGGGCTACTCATCAGTGGACAGCGGCCAAATCAAATTTGTGAATGATTATCCATTTTTTTTTTCTTTTGAGATGATTTTCCAATACACAAGTCGTAAATCTTAATAGTGAACTTAATATAAAGTTAAAGTGAAGTATCCTATATAGTAGTTGGCCAAACAGCTACAAGGACAAATTCAAGTCTACAACACTACAACTCGGTTACGGCGCTAAATTATCCCGTAGTATATTGGTGACCACCTTCTCAGAGAGAAATATCAGAGTGTGTTTGGTTGTGGAAAATTATTTTTATTTTCTAAGAACATGTTTTCAGAAAATAGAGTTTAATTTTCATTTTCATTTTTCAATAAAAATTTTAAAAACACATTTGGTTTTTTAGTTTTCCAAAGTTTCTAAAAAAATGATAATTTTCAGTTTTTCAAATTATATATAAATAAGACTAGTGATGTTTACAATTTTCAAAATTTTAAAATGGAAAATGAAAACTCTATCGGTTCCAACCAAATACTTTTTCTAAAATTTTAATTGGAAATTAAAAATGAAAACTCAACTCTATTTTCTGAAAACATTTTCTTAGAAAATGAATACAGTCTTCCACAATCAAATGTACCTTAAGGTTTTTACACAAATACGTTGTGCAATTTATTTTTTCGCAGATGATATCTATAGGGGAAAAAAAGTTGTCAGCTTGTGGTTTTGGTGATTTTGAACACGACTGGACTTTTGCTAATGCCTTGTGCGGAAAGGGCAGCGTATGTAGGTGATTTGGAAATTTTATCTTATTTATGAGAAATTGTCAGCAAAACTAGCTAGTAGCTAGAAACTTGTAGTTAGTAATTGTAACTTTTATTTGCTATATAAATATTTGGTAAAAATATTCAAAAATTTTGAAATATTTAAAATGACATAAAGTAATCTTATTAAGGAGTTAGATGATTTTTACTCAAACTAAAAAGCTACAAAATTAAGTTTTTTGTTAATAACTAGAATCAAAAGTCTCTTGCTGCTAATTTTAATTTAAGGTGATGTTTGTTTTTCTGCAAAAGTTCTTCTTGACCTCTTATGTCTACGCCAGTGCGTAGACATTTGGTCTCGTAGACTGTTTGTTTGTTAGAAGACCGCAGACCTAAAAAGGTATGCGCGTCGTCTTCTTGACATACATATGAATTTATGTCTTTTAACCTTTTTTACCTCTTCCACAATATGTATTTAACTTTAAAAAAAGATTTTTTTTTTTTGTAATTATTAGTGTCGTTTTCATCTTTTATATTTTTTTACTCCTTTCTTTTTATGTATTTATCTGTTATTTTGTTTATTGTTTTTTTGTATCATAATTATGTATTAACCAAAATGTTTATGTTTTTTTATTATGTACATGTTTTTCTATTCAAATAATAGATTTATCCAAATAATTTTGACATAGTTTTATAGATATTTATATTTTTGTGCAATGTAAGTAAATTTGATAACTTTTTTTTATGTTATTTAGGATGGAAACAATATTATCGATTAATTAGTTCATATATATATATATATATATATATATATATATATATATATATATATATATATATATATATATATATATATATATATATATATATATATATATATATATATATATATATATATATATATATATATATATATATATATATATATATATATATATATATATATCAAAAATCTTATTGAAGTTTTATTTTTCAATTATCATAATTTTTTGATTATTGAATCCCAACTTAGTTTTAGCCCTTGGAATCATCACATGGAATTTTGTATCTGTTTCAGTTTATTATTTTTGGTTTTGTTGCATTTTTATCAAAAAAAATTCTCGATTCAGTTTTTAACTTACCCCAAACTATATTTGTTAATTAGTTGTAATCGCTTAAGATATAGTTGATGAAAATTTTAGTTTTTTGTAATATTTTTATGTTTAAAAAAACCTGTATATCTAAATCTCAGTTTATTTTAACAACATGCAAACATTAAAAAACAAACAGTTTTTTCTTGCAAAATACAAACATTTGGTCCAGCTGTTCTACTGGAAAAGTTTGCAAATATGATTTGCACATACATTTTGTCTCATAAAAAACAAACACCTAACTAAAACTAAAAAAATAATATAGATTTAGAAGTCGGACAGATTCTCATGTTAACCTTCTTTTTGTTAACCTGTAATAATAAGATAATAATTTTTTTGAGCAACACAAATACTTTTAATTGTTTTATCACTACCTACTTGATTAATGTCAATACTTCAAATACACATTATGTCAATTGATTTATGTATGTATGTATTATAAAAAGCTTAACTTAAGTTTTTTTTAAATAAATTGAAATTTTCAAGTTTACCGCATAATATAATAAAAGACCATGACTAGTCAAAAATTCAAGAAATGTCTTATAACATTAAAAATTAAAAATGAGAAATACTTGATCCAAAAGAGAGGTAGGTAAAGGTAATGCCAGAAAATTCAAAAACCTAAAATATGGAAAAATGTCCAACATGACATCGTCGTCAACTCCAACCCAAAACCATGATCTCGCCTTAACAAAAATCCAATCTCGAAAAACACAAACACAAATTTCTTTCAAAGACTTCTTCTACCCTAAATTACGCATTTGACCCTCCCAAAATCTCAAACATTTAGTAGAAGAAACCAAGCACTTTACCACCAACATTCTTCCTCCTTGCTTCTTCATGGTCCATAATTCCAGCAGATGTAGTCAAAACAATGTACCCAAACTGCACAATTTTAACATTTCTTATTTATTTACTAATTCAAAGAAAAATTAATTATATAACTGATTGCCATTGTATATTGACATGACCATTGACAAAAATGGCCCTCGAAAAAAGGTGAGAGATGATTTTGTCATTTGTGTAAAATGGCAAAAATGCCCTTGAAAAAAATAAAATCTAACCTGTCTTGAAGGAAGAAGTCTAGCAGTCCATGGCTCAATTTCTTTGACACCAACATCAAATCGGGGACTGATGACCCCACATTTGTTCAAGCGACCATTGAGTTCAACCACAATCTTTCCTGATCTATGGTCATCAACATACTCAAACTCACCGATATAGCCTGCAAGGTTTTAAGGGTAAAAATGTCATTTGCAAATAAGATGATTGGAATTGTTGGAAGAGAAGGGAGATAAGAGCAAACCATGCTTTTGCATAACCATAAGGAACTTGATGATAACTTTTGAAGAAGGCCTGATCATGACCTGTCTCTTCCCCCTCTTCTCAGCATTGTACATGCTCTTGAGAGCGTCATTCAACACGCTAACCCTCACCATCCTCACAAAATCAAGATGCTGCAAGAATCAACACCAACAATACACATTTATATAAACAAATGTAAAAAAGCTACATGCAATCTTCTTACAATTGGGGTTTTGGGATAATTCAAAAAAGATAATGTTTACCACTGAATAACCTCTTCCCCAATCATTTTTAACAACATATTCAAAATTTTAGTTTCTTAAACGCCAGGAACATCATCTATTTCTTCGATATTAAGACTTGTGTCATTGTTTAAAGTTAGAGCAAAGCTAATTTCATCTTAGCAATATGATGAATACAAACCAATTCCAGAAAAAGAAAAATCACGTCAAGAGCAGCAAAGTCTAATATGCGTTTGTGCTCAATAACTAGTCTGAGCAAATTCTTAGGGCATAGATAAGTAAAATAAATAGTTTGTTAACATGTATAAAGCATAACAATACATCATTTCTGAAGGTTTTCATGAAATTTTGAGCTACTATATCGACAGCGAAAAGTCGGGCGTTTGAAATCAGCTCGCATAAAACTCAGACTCTGAGAATAATATTAACAAACATTTTTTTGGTACACTAATTGAGCTGCAAACAGACATTGCGATGAGATCAAACTACCGAAAAACTTAAACAGACATGAAGACGATATCAAATTATCTTCGAACTATAAACAGACATTATGATCAGATCAAATTATCTTCGGCATAAACAAATCAATAAACGATCCAATCGGAAAAAACCGTTTCGAAAACCTCCAACACTGATTCTAATCAGAATATAACATTATCTAGAGAAAAATCAACTGATTCGAAGATCAAAGAACAGATTACAAGAGTTATGATCTACTTATGATGCTGCACTTGCGAATGCTTATGGATTGAGGTGAAAATCAGGGTTACCTCGGAGCAAAGAACGGCCGCCGCGACTGCTGAGTGAGGAAGGGATACAGAGACTGAGAAAGAACTTAGGGTTTTGGGTCTTATAGGAAATCCAGAAGTTATTAAACGAGCCCCTAATCTATCAAAAGTATTTAAAATTTACCCTTATATATTTAGATCGCATACAAATTGACTACTCAGTTTTCGATTTAGACCAAACATCATGGCACGTGAAAATAAAATGACCAATACAGACATAGGCATAGACGTTTTGATAATTGTTTAAATATTAAATTACCTCCTATCTTTTCTACTTATAATTATTCCTATTTAATGAAATATTGAAAAATCATCATTCAATTTAATTTTATTTGATATATTCCTAATATAACCTTAATAAGTTAGTTAGAAAAATATGAAATGATCATACTTATAATAATTTGATTGGATATGAAGATTTGTAGGTATAAAATAACTAATACAAAAAAATACCTCGACTTCAACAATAAGGATGTTCACTTTGAGTTATCATTTTTATTTAAAATATATTACCATTGAAATAATTTCAACAATAAGAAAAACATAGTGTTAAGAAAAACAGTCATAACTCAACTTCTTTTAGAAAATAGCAATTTTTCTTTTTGAAATATCAACTTTTTTTTAAAAATAGCAATTTTTCTTTTTGAAATAGCAATTTCTTTGTGTGTACAAAGAAATTGAATTACATTTTATTGGCATGTTTGTTTTATGCGTACTAATGGAATATGTCATTGATATATGTTTTTTTATGTACAAACAGAACTAAAATTTTATTTTATAAAAATAAAGATATACCATTAAATAAATAGCATATTTGCATATTTAATTTTTTTTTAAAATACGCTATATTGATAATAAATGGTCAAAAGGAAATATTTATCATATAAAAATTGTTTATAGTAAAAAACAATTCCTTTAGAGTGAAAAAAAAATACCATCAAATAGAATTATATGAGAAAAAAATCATTAATTTTTTTATTATCAATATTATTGAAGATTATTATAGTAAATTTAATTTTTATTTCCATTTATCATTTCATTCATTAAATTAAAGAAGAAGAAAAAAACACTCAAGAAAAGAAATCATATTCCATGATAAATGTTCAATTTCATTCATTTGTGAGTTGTGACGAACAAATAGGATTTTTTTTTTATCTTTTATTTCATTCGTTCTCCATATTTTAATTGAAATAATAATTAAAATGCCCATCTTGGTCCGCTACATATCGGTGTTCGTTTGGATGGATCGGTTTGATCCGATCCAATCAAGTAAATCCAAATACATTTTGGTTTTTAAAACATAGATTCAAATAGTCCAAACTAAATTCAAATCTGATTCGATCCAACAAAATTACAATTTGGTTGGATCGGTTTTTACAATTCAATTTTCAAAAGGCGAGATAACTTAAATATTAGTAACTCTATAAAAGTATCTAAAAAAGCTTTTTAATTATGAAGTATAGTTTATAAACAACTATTAAGAAATTTAGATTATAGTTTAATATTTTATTGACAAAACTTTTGATAAGAAATAAATATTAAGGTATTATATTGGATGAAAGTTTCTAATAATTAAAAAAACAATTTAGTAAATTTATAAATAATTAAATATATATATTAAAAATAAATAATAAGTTGTTTTTCAGTGTTTTTGAAGGTTCATATTTATAAAACGAAACCAATCCGAAATCCAAAATAATAATTCAGTTTAACTTCAAATCAATCCGAATATCCGAACCAAATAGTCGGATTGGACAATTTGGTTTTAACAAAATAGTAAACAGCTACATATGTCAACCACAAACACGGTATAGAGTTGCATGTCATGACTTAAACACACATGGATCATCGGACCATTCAACCAAACTTTAAGCCATAATAAAACAACACACTCAAATTTCACGGTTTTCAGTTTAGAAATGTTAATATTGCATTACAAAATCAACTTTAGGGTTGCTAAAATCAGAAGAAAATCACCTCAAAGTATCATCCTCCATTGATATCGGGCATATTCATCTTGAAAAAGAAGCAAAATATGGAGTGACAAATGGTTTAGGGATTTAAGGGATGCACCACCTTTTGCAAAGAGCCCTCACTAAATAAATAAAATTTGAAGAAAAAGAACGTGTAACAAAAATTTAAAGAACTTAAGTGGCACATTTGCAGTTCCATAATTTTTCCCAGCAACTGATCTTAAGATATATGTTCAACAAATCCACATTTCTACTTGATTCCAACTATATATTCTCATTGTCTTTTGTTTCCAATGTTGAATCTTAGCAACTATCAAACTATGGTGTGTAAATAAGAATAAAAATGTAGCTTAATGAGATGATCAATGGGAATGGAAAGTAGAGAAGATAATTTGCATATGATGCTCATGTAAAAGGAAGAAAATAATTGTGTACAAAGCATAAGAAGAAAAGATGATTGGTTTCAACTGTAGGGAGTAAAAGCTTCTTTTCTACTTTTACATGGATAGAAGAAGAAAGAATCACAAGTTATATAGCAGCCCAAAAATCTAATCGTATCTGCTCTCTCTGAATTTTCTCATCTGAGTTTGATCAAGCAAAACCCTGAAATTTTGGATAAAAACAAGATGAAAATCGTTACAGAGGAACAATTATGAATCAGCAAACCACACCACACCTGGCATTGTTGATGTTATTTCTTATTTGCATAATGGATCCGAATATTTCTACCATCAAGTAGCTGAAAAGAAAGCATTACAAACCAACAGAATGAATATGAAATGAAATTCTGGTGACATTTCAAGAGAAGGTTTTGTTTATGATTCTAATGTTTTTTTTTTTTACCTGACCATCCATTTCTGCTAAGGCTTTGGTAGCAGACTCCTCAGAAACAAAATGCACAAATCCATATCCTTTTGATTTCCCACTCTTGTGATCGCATATAACCCTAACTGCAAATCAATCATGGAAGTTAACTTTTTATAAGAAGATTAGACAGACACACAGCAGCTGGTGAGTTGCGATCATGTGAATCACCTTCAATTAATTCTCCATGCTGCTCAAATACATGTTTTAACACTGGTTCATGTGTATCATACGAAAGCCCTGTGTGCATACATATACATATATTAATATTCCCCTGTGAATCGATGACCCAAGGGATGATTTTGTAAATTGTCTAGGGTTTAGAATGGAGATGAACAAATTCATGAAAAGCAAAAAGTATTAGGAGCAAATAAACATGATACCTCCGACAAACAGCTTGCTGGAGGAGTGACGCCTCAACATCCATCTGAATCTGAATATTGGAGATGAAGAAAGCCGATAAACCCCATTCGCCCACATATTTATTTTGCATATATCCGTCCAATAGGTGAATACTAAAAATCATAATTCGTAAGATGTGTGTTTATTTGGATAATTTTATATTTAAGGGTTGTTTGGCAACTTCTGAATCATTCGGATTCGGAGGTTCTAAATGAATTTGTCTTTGAATGAAAACAAATTGTTCGGTGAAGGTGCTTAATGATAAAATTGATTATTTTAACTTTCTGAATTAAATTTTAGATCTTTATTGCTTAAACTCAAACTCAAACACATAACAAATGAAAAAATAATTTCACTAACTTATTGTTTAAAGTCGAACAAATAACAAATCAATTCAAGAAAATTTTCACCATACTACTCATCTATAACAAGTTCATCACTCTCTTTGATTCCTTGTAACTATTTAAATGAATTCCAATTGCAATTCAGTGTAGTGAAACTATGATTGACGACCCACACTATTGTGGTTTTCATCATAGACCATTAAAAAAGTTTACTGTTTTGATTCATCATTGCAGTTGATATCGTGAATATTAATTCCAGAAAAAAAATACAGAGAGACAATCAGTTTACATATGAACTTAATTTCTTAAGGTTGAATCCCCAACAGCCACGTGTTCATTTTTCCATCGAAAAATCAAACAGAATCAGATAGATATATCTAAAGCCCTTTCCTGGAATCAGAAATTGCAATCATCCCAAAAATCCATCTAATGTTAGGACCACAAAACGCACACTAAGGACTGTGATATTGTAATACTAGCTCTGATTTGATCCATTATTTAGCAAAACCAGTTGAAATCTCTATTCTAATAAAAGAATAGGTTGATTCTTCTTTTGCCATGTGTCACCTTATTAGACATCATAATTAATATCATGTCACATGTCAATGTATTGATTATGCATTTCAAATTTCAAAATTTAAATTTCTCACTCTAATTAAATGAAATTAAATAACATTAGAATATCATTTAAAATAAAATTAATACAGATTATAAGGTAACGTATTTATCTAAGTCAATGATTATAATTTTATATAACTAAAAAAATATAATTGATTAATAATTTTAAGTTTTTACTGTGAAAGTTTAATTAATTTTATAACCGTGGTGTCAAGGGTTATAAACTAGTTTCGAATAAAATCCTAATTGACCACTGAAATCGTCCTATGTTTCAATTTATGCACGAAAAATACGGACACAAAGCATAGTAGGGAAAAGCTAATTAAAGAGCACATTAAGCTAATAAGAATCACCTGAAAGAGCAAGAGATAGAACGTAATTCAAACAATGTGGATAGAACGAAGTAAGTGATGATTACAGAGGCTAAGGATGAGCAAAAGGACCGAACCGGCCGGAACCGGGAACCGGCTTCAGCCAAAATCAAGAACCGAACCGGCCCGGCGGTTCTACCGGTTCCCGGTTCCTACCGGTTCTTGTCGTGTCTTCAAATATTGGAACCGATCCTTGAAAAATAGCATCATACGGTTCCGGTTCTTGCCGGTTCTACCGGTTCCGGTTATATCGGTTCCGGTTCCCGGTTCCAAAAATCCACAAAAATAACGTCTCGGTCCTGGCCCGACCGGTTCCATCGAGTTCCGGTTCCTCGGTCCATATGCTCATCCCTAACAGAGGCGATGATACTGAGGGCTGCTGATGGGAGTCGTTGGGTGATATCGCCGAAGATGATGGTGAGGGATGGCTGATGCGCTGCGATGGAAGGAGAAATGACATATGCGATGGTAAAGGGTAAAGATGGGTATTTCAACCATTCAGCGTCCACCATGTATGTATGAATAGAGGTGGGCAAACCGGTTTTCTTTCGCAACCAAATTCTAAATTATTTTGTTATTTTTTTAATAACAGAGAAAATGATTATGTTATTATAATTTTATAGTATATTTACTAATTTTGTATTATATCTACTGATTTATATATATATATATATATATATATATATATATTAAAGTTGTGCACCCTTTAGGAACAGTACTTGACTATGGTACTGTTCCTCAGGTTACCACATGGTTACACGTTTAGTTCCCGATCCTTCCACCGTCTTCCTTTTATCTTTACTCCAAATCATACACATCTCTTTCTTCATCGTCTCCCCTCTTATTCCAGAAAAGCACCACCACTTCTAGCTCAACCTCAAATAATCACATCGTCACTGCAATTACAGGCCTCCGGTGAGGTAGGCGACTTCGTGATTATACAATTCGTGAACAGGAACATATTTATACAAACCAAGACAATGCAAGAAACAGTTGGGAACAAACCATGGGGGAGATCGATGCACTCAGTGATAGCGACTCCAAAACCCAGACCCTAACTTCCTCAAACACGACTCGCTTTACTCTGCGCTAATAGAACCCACATTTATCTTCACTATCGTCGCTAACTTTTCAAGCACATTGCATTCCAACATGGGGCCATGATTTTAGGTAATCTCTCAAGGCTAAGTGGTATTTGTTAGGTTAACATCAGATAACAACTTGGCGAGTTTCGATTGCCAAATGCCAACACATAAGGTTATCATTTGTGGTAAAATGACATCTTATGTTGCAGTTAGCTAGGTAGTGTTTGGTGCATGATAGAATCAGAGGAATGAATAGAACGATTCATTATGTTTAATTGAAAAAGAATTTTTTTGTTTTCCTTTAATATTGTTATATCTTTAGCAGTTAAATATATTGTTGTGTGTTCCGCACCTATCTGAAACAATCAGATTTACATTTTGTTAAAAAGTCCTGACCCAAAAACAGATTACATATCCGGAACCCACAATGCGAGGTCACTCATATAGTTCTTTATGATTTTAGTTAAAGAAAATTAAACATAACCACCATCATTAGTAATTAGCATATATATATATATATATATATATATATATATATATATATATATATATATATATATATGTATGTATGTATGTATATGTGTATGTATGTATGTATGTATGTATGTGTTTAAGTTCTTCGGAAAACATGAAGCCCTAAAAATCATAAAAATGCATAAAAAATACTTATAGATCACAAAACTTTTTTTTTGTGAAAAAATCGCAGGTTTTTATATAAATTCGTTGACTTTTTTTTTGAAAAAAAAATGGTTTTTTAATTTAAAAAAAATGATTTTTTATTTTTTTCAGCGAATTTATTAAAAAAACCGATGATTTTTTTATTAAAAAAATTTTAATTAAAAAAAAAAATAAATAAATAAAACGTTTTGTAGTCTCTAAGTATTTTTTATGCGCTTTTAGGATTTTTTTAGAGTTTTTTGCTTTTCCAAATAACTAACTAACTAACTAACTAACTATATATATATATATATATATATATATATATATATATATATATATATATATATATATATAAACAGAGAGAGAGGAGAAAAGATGTTCAGGAGTAAAACCATTAAATAGTAAAATAAATTAAAAATAAACCTAAATTAGTAAACTTCATTGATTATTAAATACCTTTAATTCCATAAAAAAGAAACAAAAAAAATTTTTTGGACGATGTTAATATCATTGACGTCATCTTTTTTATCAATCGTAATTTAATATATTATTAATAATATTATTGTATTTTTCTTATTTTAATATAACAATACAAAAGATGGTATGAATATTGAAAACGTATAGGGCAAATTTTAGAAAGTTTTGTAGAAGTATGAGGGAAAGAAATGAAATTTTAAATTATAACTACTTTTCACTCGTAATGATGGATATATTGATTCACGTTACTCGAGTTTCGTGTATTTAGAACTGTTATCGTGCATTTAGAATTAGCCAATAGAATTTGATCAGATTATGTTGCTCCTCTTCACAAAGCCTAAAGGTGCGTCAAACTAGGTCTAAATCCGATCTCTACCATTAAGATCAAAGATCTACAAGTCGGTAAGACATTTGCAAAAATTTTGACTCAAACCGGTAACCACCACGCATTGCTGCCAAATTTCAAAAAAAAAAATCTAAATCGTTTCGTTTTATTGTTTTGTTGTGGATATGGCTACGGCCTACGAGATTTCAATAAAGGTTTTCCATTTAACTTTTATCGGTGCTCAAATACGTCATTAATCGCTTACATATATTTGCAAAAATTAAACTTAAACGAGTAAAGTTATCTCAAACCAATGATAATGCATACCTAATATACACAATATGTTGCAGAAAATGATTAAAAATATATGCTAAAATGATGGATAAAATTCAATCTAACAAATACAAATACAGCACATCATTTAATATCCTAGGCATGGAAAACTATCATTTAACAAAAACACAAACTAACAAATATCCCCAGCAAATGGAAAAGACGAACACAAGGTCACTCACATCATTACACAAGCCAAGTGAAAAATCACTCTTAGTAACAAATGAAAATCTATAGAATCCAAAATGTTTGAGAGTTTTATTTAAAATGAATTATTGGCTTCTAAAAATGTCAATTTCAATGAAAAAAATACTATTTAAAAGGGTAATGAATTCCTAATAAGAAGTTATATCTTTGGTACACTAACCATCTTAAAAATTGAAACATTTTGATCGTTCATTTTTTACCCTATTATTATTCTATTAAAATCATTTAACTTTGAGTCATGATTTAGGGGGTGTTTGGCTTAGCTTTTCAAACCCTAAAAGTTCTTTTTGAAAAAGTTAAAAAAAATAAAAATTTCCTGATTTTTCCAAAAAATTCTTTTTCCTTAGGTAAGAACTTCAAAAATAACTTCTAAAACTTGTTTGCCAAACATTTTTGCTTTTTTTTTTTTAAAAGAACTTTTGGATTTGGAAAGCTAAACCAAACACCCGTTAAAGTTACAATTGTCCTTTTGACTCTATGATTTTTTACTACTATTAAGAACTCGGTTCTCATCTTTCTAATCGTAGTCCCAAAAACGACTTATGTAAGTTACACTAAAATCACACAAAATTAAGAAACAAGTTGTTTCATTCATTCGAATTGGATACAACTGATTGACTAAAAACTGTTCAACGATCTTTAAAGAACAATCAAACACGAATGATTCCCTAGGATTGAATATAACATTAAACTAGGCTTTTGCGGCTTTCTTGGGTGACTTGGCAGCCTTGGAAGGAGATTTTGGCTCTGTAGCGGTAGCAGTCTTCTTGGGCAAAAGAATTGGGTTGATATTCGGGAGAACACCACCGTGAGCAATTGTTACTCCGGCCAACAATTTTCCTAGCTCCTCGTCGTTCCTAACTGCCAAAAGTAAATGTCTTGGGATTATTCTGTGCTTCTTGTTGTCCCTGGCTGCATTCCCAGCTAACTCTAGCACCTGAAAGCAAACAAACAATCATCAGAATGAATTGAGGAGGCAAAACCTAAGATAATGAAAATCAAATTCAAATCAATCAACATTAACAGCAAAATTAGCGAGATTTGTTCATATCTCCAATAACATAGATGCAGATCTATGAGTTAATATGATGAACAAATCGTATATGAAGAGATTGAACTGGAAAACTTACTTCGGCAGCAAGGTATTCGAGAACGGCAGCAAGGTACACCGGAGCACCAGTACCAACACGCTTAGCATAACGTCCATTCTTCAGAAAACGACCAATTCTACCGACGGGGAACTGAAGACCGGCTTTGACTGAGCGAGTCACCGACTTCTTCCTCGGACCACCCTTCCTTCCGGCGGCACCCTTCTTCACCTTTCCGGTTCCCTCCATGTGTTTAAGTGTAGTGCTTTTCAGAAATGACCGATTGATTTGATTGTAGATGATGATGCTTAAGGAGTCGCGTCGGCATTGTTTATATGGTGGTGTGGGAGGGGTTTGGAATTGTGAAATGGGTTAGTATCAGCCGTTGGATTATGGTTTATCTGTAATCCGTGTGAAGTATAATTGACCAATGGGAATCGGTTTAAGTTTTGAATTCTATTTGAAAATTATGGGTATAACTCCTCGTTCCCGCCTAAGTTTTTTTTTCTTTTTTTAATTTCTTCCATTAAAATTTCAATATTATAAGTATAATTGATTTATGAGGAATGACATGTCAAATAATATATATTTATTTAGTAAGCTTGTTCAGTTCTATGTAATCAATGCACATCCAGAACGATCCATCTTTCTTCTTTACGAACAAGATCGGTGCTCCCCAAGGTGAGAAGCTTGAGCTCATCTAAGTGCATGCATCGCACCCCTTTATTTGTAAAAATATTTTTAGAAAACTTTGTTTTACTTACAAACAAATTATCGATTCCTCATAACGAGTTCAAACACACTATAGAGTATGCTTAAATCCCTCAAATCAACGCTCTGATACTAACTTGTAACGTCTCAAAAATACTAGGAAATGTTTCATTGTCAAAACACCCAAAATGATACAACCATTTGTTCTAAACCCAACCAAAATTTTATATATTATCAACATCAAAGTAAATCAAATAAATAGTGTGGAAAAAACCAAGAGGATGTTGTGCGATCATGTCAGGCCCTTTATAACCAAAAGTACATGAAACATTTAAACTACAAAATGGTAAGCACAAAGCTTAAAGAGTTACCTAAAATACCACATACCATACATAACATCAGGAACCGCCCATATAACGGGGCCGCCCAACATATCGGGCCATGCTTTGCATAACGGGCCCACCCAACAAACATACAAAAGCCACAAAGACAATATAACACTCTATATATAGTATAGTGAGAAAACTCACCCCACACTCGCAGTCAAACAACCTTAGATCGAAAAGTCCAGAAACCAATGCTACAACCCACCTATAAAAATACCTTAGTCCACAATCTAAGACTGACAATTTGTCCAAAAGTCAACCAGGTCAAAAAGTAAACGGTCAAGGTCAACGTGCAAAATCAACATTAGTTGACATCCACGTCGTGTCTTACCCATGTACATGTCGTGGTAATATCAAGACAAAACAATCACGTATCCCTTCCTTCCCCACGTTGTGGCATCCAACTCGCCACCTCGTGGCTACTGTCTGTGGACAACTTAATGGATTAAGTCCTTAATCCATTAAGCCTTGAACTCATACTTTCCAATAAGCTAATAGGGACTCCAAATGGTTGTAAAAATCCAAAACTCTATGGACATACATGACCCACACATGTCCTTCACTCAAACTAGGTTCAAAGGTAAGAAAAATGACATAAGACTCGTGCAAATCAAACAAATCTCAACCAAATCCCATATATGAAGGTTATAAGGATCAGGGACATAGGTGAGCCACAAAGTTGCAGATTTTATCTCATCCCATCGTACAAACTCCAAATATGGACCAAAACATCCAAGTAAAGCTAGATCTACAAAGAAGGAATCATCAGAATAAGAACTTGAAGCCTTACAACTGGTCTAGAGAATAATTCCAACGACGGATATGAGTTGCTTGATTAATTATTGCATCAAAACCTTCTTCTTATTCCTTCAAAGAGTACCAAGAACACCAAAATGAACCAAAACTTCCAAAGGGATGATAGGGTTTAGTAAGGGTGTTTGGGAGGTGATGGATGATGAATGTGGAGGAAACCCTAGCCATCACTTCCCTTAAATAGGGCTTAAACCTAAAAAATAGGGGTTTGCATGTCTGTTGCCCCCATGTTGTGGCACACATCCTGCCACATTGTGGGATCCAAAATGAACACATGTTTCATATAAGATTTCCACGTCGTGGAAACCTATTCATCACTGTGACATCCTCATTTTTATGGAAAAAAAAGACCGATTTGTTTATGCTTATTAAACCAGAGTATTCTTTTAAAAAGGTTTACTTTGCGGAATTTATCCCCAAAAGATGGTAAGAATGTTATCAAGACATTTCGAAATGTATTTTATGTATAAAACTCGGGATGTCATTGTCAATATAGAAACATAAGCATAAACGAACCTTACATTATCTTAGACTAATAGACTACATCTCCTTGAATCTCTCATCATGCATGCAACTTTGTACTGTTACCTGTGATACAAAGAAGCTGAGTATGTCAGGTTGAGAAACATGGTGAGTACATAGGCATTTTCAACCCACAATAATATAGCTAACATGTTTAATCATCAAATAAACAATTAACCAAATTACTCATCTTTGTTTTAGTATTTGTTCTTCCCTAAGGATTTATCCTAAGGGTTATCTTAGTCACCGTTGTTGACAATAATGTTACAGGGATTTCTCCGCAATACATGTCAGTAAGTTCCTTTATATTTTTATTCGTAAGGATTTGTCATAAGGAATACGCACGAAGTCCATTGTTGTCAGTGTTTAGGCACGAAGTCCATCGTTGTCGGTGCTTATCTAATGGGCACTAAGTCCATATATGTCAGTATCTATCTAATAGCCACTAAGTCGATATTTGTCAATATTTATCTGATAGGCCTCTCATCATCTATATCATCTTTCATCTCTCAACATCTATACTATCTTACATATACCCATATTTACCTAATATATTTATAGGTAATAAAAATACATATATAGTTCAAAATCAAATAAAACATGTATATATTATTCATCTAACATAAATATCATGAACACATAATAGACATATATAGCATGTAATTATCTTAAATACTCCATATCTATGTTTAAGATGAAAGTAACCATGCACTTACTTTAGTTACTTGGCAAAGTGTCTGCTAATTGGTGAATTGGGCAGAGCTTCGCCTTACACCTTTTTCCAAAAGACCTAGATGTACATAATGCTAAGTATTAGTATAATTTCATACTTCATGTAACTATTATCACAAGGGTTTAGATTTCTCAACAATCCCAAAGTTTACTTCAACATATAAATAAGGAATAATAAGGTAGGATCATATTGGAGGTAGGGTCCGTTCGGTATACAAAGTATACTGTGTGGAAATCCCACTTTAAACATCTCACTAAATCCAACCTAAACATTATCTCCATGAGTAGATAAATTAGTATAACGACATGGAATTAATGATAAATCTTATTTATAGGTTCATAATAACGACTCATGTCTATAAATATAATTTACACTGAAAGAGATAAAGTGTAGGTCAACTTACAAAGGTTCTTGATGAAAACAGGAATCTAAGCAGGCAAGATATTGACTCGGGATTTCCTAATCGAATGCTATTACTCATATGAGTATTCAGGGGTGTTGCAGGGCTTCGACGTAAGCTAAAACTAATGGGAAATGAGTCTAAAATTGTGACATCCCCAAAATCTCGGCCAGAAAAGACCGATTTCATTTATGCTTTTTAAAATAATTTTCAGAGTAAATCCTTTTAATTTTAAAAGAGATGCGGAATTTGTTCCCAAAAACAAAACATGATAAAATAGATATTTATCAAAACATTTCATAAAGAAATATGATTTCATTTCATAATCAAAAGTCGGGATGTCATGTTCCGATACAGATCATAAAGCATAAACGATAGCATTACAAGTCTTTCAACAAATATATACATATACAGACTTGTAAACAAAACAACTTGATGTTCGCCCATCTTAAGCTCTTGCGCCACTTCCTGTAAAATAAATCAACTGAGTGGGTCAGGCTTTGGAGCCTGGTGAGCATATAGGGTTTTCAACCCACAATAAATAATTAAATTAATTATTATCAACCAACAATAACCCAGTTACCCATTCCCGTTATTCTCACTTTATGTCCCTAAAATAACTAACACAAGGGACCTAGTCTAAGAATATTTCATCGGGGCGACTACACATGCTTCGGGGGTTCCTCAGCCATATAAGTCAAATAAGGCAACCATGGGGGGGATGGAATACAACGAATGAACACCCAAGTTCATTAACACCTACAGGTTATGAGCCTGCTAGCGTTCCACTGGACTGTCTAGAAAAGTCCGTGGTCGTCATCTAAATTCCGCTAGATGACTGGATCAAAACAACATCGAGGCCTCTCATCTGTTTATTACACACCAATTATCTACCCAACATGTTAGTAGATAAAATATACATTTTTATACGTAGTTTCAAAACCTGTATAGCATGCTCAACCAAAAAATTTTTCACATAACAGATGAGGCACACACACATAACACGTATTTCATAAAGAAATAATCAGATCTATAAGATAGAAGAGTGTGGATATACATTCACATATATAACAACAAAATATATACACATAGCACGTATTTTATATAAAATACTTCATAATATTGTGTTGGAATGAAAGTAACTACACACTCACTTGATCAGAAGATGATCGGGCAGCACTACGGCTTGCAGAAGAGGTGTTTCTCCGTAGATCTGGAAGATCTTCACAAAACCGGGCTCTTCGCGGGCAGCGTTTCGACTCGGGAATAACGCTCTTCGGGATTCTCGGGGCTTCAGATCTTGCTTCGGGGCTCGGGAATATTACCGGGGCTTCGGGGTATAAACGGCACGCAAAACGAGGCAAAACTTAGAGATAGAGAGAAGAGTTTGAACAAGAGAAAATGGCTGAATTCGAGTTCTATTTATAGGCTGCTGGGTCTGGGATTACGCGGGGCGTACTCATTACGCGGGGCGTACTCGGGTTACGCGGGGCGTACTTTGACGTCACTGCGTGCGTCGACTGGTGGCACTCGAGTATTGATCAGACAAGTTGCATCCGACTGAGTACGCGAGGCGTAATTGACTTGTCAATTTTCTAAATTGCGTAACTTTCGCATACGAGCTCCGTTTTCGACGTTCTTTATATCCACGCGAAGGTCAGACCATACTCTACAACTTTCATTTAGACTCCATTGGCTAATTTTGACTTTTATTTTTATTATTTATTTTTAGAAGGCCGGGACAGAAAAACTTCGTTATAAATTCATAACTTCTTCGTCTGACGTCCGTTCTCGCCTAACTTTTCATCGTTTCGCTACT